AGCATTTCGTGAATCAGTTCATAGCCTTGTTTTTACCTGTCTGGGAATCTATTATAATGCTTCTTCATGGCTGTTCTTTCTAGTGCTTTTCAGCAGGGTAGAGCCTCTTTCTATAGAAATGATTCCTTGCCTTGCTTTTGAAGTGATTTAACATTAGGGCCTGGTTCCATGGTTACAGCCTCCCCTTGCCTTTGCTCCATGAGAGCCACTAGCCCTGTCATGTTTTGCTGGCAAGAATATGGATGGTCCTCTGGGATTGTCTGGATTGAGAGAGCTGTTGTGAGCTGAAACACTCGGCCTGATGTTAGGTCGAAATCTGGGTGGGGAGGAAGGGATGGGTAAATCCTTCTTTGCTTACCCAGGGCGGGGAGCAGTTGCGGAGCTCATCAGTGACTGCGGCTCTGCCTTCGCAGATCAAATTCTTCTCCTGTCACAGGGGAGCAAAGAGCAAGAGTCTCCTCTGTGATAGCAGTGCCTTTGGGCTTGCTGCTGCCACATTCACCTATTTTTTCTCCATCGTCGCCTGGTGAGGTGGAAGGGCGAGTGCCGTGTCCCTGAGGCACAGCTCGTGGGAACGCTTGTAGTTGTTTCCTCTGCTGTCAGTCAGAAAACGGAACCATTTGTGCTCCGGCTGACGGTGGTTTCACCGATTCTTTGCCTTGGATTAGCTGTGGATGCAAGGAATTCTCTTTCTCCTCAATAACGAATGCCTGTAAAATGCAGCAAGAGGAGAAGGGTACCTGCCGAGGGGCGTGCATGAGCGCGTAGGGCAGTGCAAGCAGCTGGCCAAAAGGGATCGTTCACTTAGCATGACTTTGGGCGCTCTGCTAGCTGTTGGTAATGGACTGTGAAAACTTTACCGATGTAGTATAGACAGTGCTAAATTATTTAAACTGCAACTTTTAGGAAAAAAAAACCCAACCTTTAAAATTCACTGCTTTTTTTTTGCTTTTTTTTGCAATTAGCTATTATTTTGACATTTTTGGACTCCACCTTTACTTTGCGATAGAGCGTGTTACGTGGAATGCTGTGCTACTCTGTGTGCTGAGATATTGAACTCCTTCAGGCAAAAACTCTAAGCATTTTTGGAGAAGAAAATTTTAATTAGCACAATTAAAAACCCAGACATTATTGGCTTGAGTTATCCAAATGTTGTTATCCTTTAGTCCAGAGAAAAATTATGTTCCCACTGATAAGAAACATGATGGAATCAGTCAGCAATGTGTGTTCGAGCAATAAATGTTTGTGTATGGGCTAGTACAGTGAAGATTTTTTTATTTTATTTCATTTTTTTTCCCAGCAGCTTGCTGTGCCTCAGCAGTGACTTGAAGGCTTGCCAGGTCGTGAAAGTCAAGGCCAAGCCCTTGTCAAAAAACAGGCTAGTGAGGACCTTTAGACGCCACTGTGCAAAGGATACTGTTTTAACTGAACAGATGTTCTAAGTCCAGGGCTGATACTCTTGGAAGAGGTGCCAGGCGACAAAAATAGTTGTATTTTCTAGGGCAGATGGAAAAGAATGCTGTGTGTTTCAAGCTGGTTTTTTATTTTGTAGTTGTGGAGGATTCAAGTTGAGGACTTGGGAGTTGTGGATGGCTTTCTGTGTGTGAGTGCTAAAAGTATATCTTGCTCTCACTATTCGGTTTGATGTCCTTAGGAAACAAAATACTCAAGTGTAAGTGGACCACCTGTGTGTTACCACACCACTCAAAGCAGCTAGAAAGCTGTTGGGAGTAGTCAACACCATTTGCTCATAAATGAGTGAAGTGTCTTGTTATTCTGGGAATTGCTAAGAAGTATTTTTAGCATATTCTTTTTTTTCTAAACTAGCTGAAACATGATAGCAGAAACAAAAATATTTTTGTTGTTGTTTTCATCTGTTCAGAGTGACAGATTGAAGCACATAGTTATAATACAAAATAATATTTTATTTGTTTTTACATATGTATATACTCTTTAAGATTAGGTATATTCCAAAACCAAAAGCATCTTGGTCAGTCAGCTAAGGAGGCCTTATAAGATTAAGGAGGCCTTATAGTTTCATTTTTTTTTTAAATCACACTAGCATCTAATTGACAAAAATATTATTGTTCCTGACTTTGCATAACTCATTGCCTCGCTTTTCAGCAGCCTTAATATTTGACTTCTTTTATAGTGCCTTATTGTACCAAAGTTGAAGGGTTTATTTCTAATTTTAGTGCAAACTATTAAGCTTGCAAAGGTGCTAGATGGAAGTAATGGTCTTGCTTTGGAGAATTTTGCTAGAAACCACTGGTGGCTTCCAAGAAGTTTTCAGTTCAGATGGGTTCATATTTAAATAGTTTTTTTTAATCTCTTCATTTTCATAGCTCAGTCTTAAAGGTAAAACTCATCTTGCTCAATCAATGAGTTGATTTGGTTTTATAAACCGATATATTTCCTGTTTATCATGTCAAACCCTTGTGAGTTGTTTCTTTTAGGTAGAGATGGAATTTCTGGTATTGAAAAGTGAGGATCTAATCCCAACTGCGTTAAGAACTGTTTTGTTCTCTTCTTTTGACTACAGCGTAATGGTATTGAGGTGGATTTAGAAAAGGATTTTTCAGCACTGTAGTGGGAGAAGCAAAGGAAAAAATTTCATGACACAAAGTACGGTGATAGTTCCTGATGCTGTCACTTTACACTGCCTGACATGGCATGTGTGACTAAGAAAGATTTTCGCTGAAATAGTTTTGTGCTGATGCCTCTGAATTCAGCCAGTCACGTGGATAACTGTAATACAGAACAAAATGTGACAATCCTGAGGTATTCTGTAAGCACCCAAGATGACTTTGAAGTTATCTGGTCTAGATTGTGTGACCAAGGCAAAATTAATTTTAGATTCATTGATCCATAAAGACTCTGCACATATATTACTTATAGGAAGAATCATGACTTGGTATCTTTCCTAAGTTCCATTAGACCACTGCCCAAACCAAAAAAAGTCAAGATGATATCACCAGTTTAGGATTTTCTTAATGCTAATATTGATCATTGTGCATGAAAAATGAAGCAAGACAACTGTTAAATCTATCGCAAATGTTAAAAAATGGGTGGTGGATCTTAATCCAAGCAGCACTTAGCTTTGCCATTCCTTGGCTTTCATTAGAGTGCAGTGCCATCTTTAACATAACTTACTTGAGCAAGCATAGGTTTAATGGACTGACTTATTAGAAGTTGCAGATGTGACAAATTTTATTCCCACAAAACTTTCAAACCTAGGATATGCTTCAGTAAGGAGCTGTATGAGGAACTTCTTTTAGGTGCACAACTGAGAGAATTTTCAAATGTTTTCTGTGTTTTATTGCTTGTGAGATGTAATCGTGAATGAGCATGGGGTAAGAAATGTTAACCATAGCCATAAATCAGTGAATCATTTTAAGAGAAGATTTGATTTTAATATTATTTCACATTTTACTTTTCCTCAAAAAGCTCTGTTTATCCAGTCAATATGGTCTTTTCAGTGAATATACAATATTTGATATTAACTGGCAGGGAACACAGTCAACATTTTCAGTGTGGTGTTGGCCAGAAATTGGCATGAACTGTTTAATGTGTGGAATTGTTGATGGGTTTTTTTGAATCATTCATAACTAATTTTAATATTGAAGCTGTCCAGTTTATTAAGCAAAGGAAATATTCCCTGAAGCAGATGAATTGGACTTGGGGCGGAGAGGGAGGAGGTGAGAGCCTTGAAAGATTTTAGAACTAGTAAGTCTTGTCATCTCATGTCTAGTTTTAAGTTACAAATTAGAAGAAAGAAAACGTGTTTTTGTCCATTTTATCATCAGACAAGCTAGGGATAGAACTGAATTGGATTAAATGGGAAAAAATACTTTTCAACCTACAGAAGACACCACAGCTGTCAGGAGTTGGTTCCTGGCTTCAGCACCTCATGGTATGGGGATTTAGGCAATGAGCTCTCTCCATTCAGTGTTACAATTCACAGTAAAGCTTTGACCAGAAGCATGGACTGCCGGACAATTGTTTACCTGATTCTAATTGTTGATAATACGTCTTGATCTTAATACAGTTTATTGTAATTTCAAATAAAATTTAAGATATTTTAAGGCAATAAAAGTGAAAATATCCTAAAATTTATTTAAACTTTTTTTTTAAAAAAAGGCACATATTCACTTTGTTTTCCCTTCTGCTCTCTTCCTCCCAGAAAATAAAAAGATTTTTTTTTTTTTTTTTTTTTTTTTTAATAAAAACAGAGACAAGTATGGGAGAAACCTTCCCTTATGTGAATTCCTGATGCAAATATTTGTAATACTTTTTATATCCTGAGTATAAAAATGTTCTTCATAAAACATCCCTGTTAGTTGTTTACTTTTCTTCCAGACCATAATGTTGTTGGTTCGTGTTCAGTTCTACTGTCATCCTCAGCTGTTGTGAGAAACATAGCGTGGCTTTTGTGAAGATGAATGCAAAGCCTGAAACCTGTTACTTGTGAAACTTTTATTCTTGGAAACACTAGAATTTAACCAGCATTATATTCCCATATTCTATATTTTAAATCCACACACGTCTAGGGTAATTTCTCTTTGTGCTAACGTTACAGGTGGGAGTCAAGTAAAAGGAATGGTAACCGTTACCTGCAGTTATCAGCAGGGCTAAAGCTATCAAGCTCTCTCTTTTGTAGTACTACAAGAATTGCAGCAGGATATGAACATTTTGTGGCGTTTGTCTTAATTATGTACTGAAATTCTAAATGAGCTTTTCATCTCAAACTGCTTTCAGACCTATGAATTCTGTAGTAGAGAAATGATAAAATACATTTTAAATCACTAACACTGGACTGAAGTTTGTTTCAAGAAACTTGTTTATAAGTCTGATTCTTTGATACAAAGCAAATCTGAATTCAGCAGAAAGACAATTTGTTAGGTTTCTGAAACAACAAACCGCTTTGTAAATGCCCTAATATCTAGGATATTATTTACCTCTACTGTTTTGGAGGCTAATGCTACAATTATTTTATGCAGGTTCCAACAGGAACATCTCGTCAAAGTTACCCAGCTACCAGCTATCAAGACTTCAGCAACTGGGAATCTCTGATGAAAATTAAAGAGGGGCTGCTAAGACAGAAAGAGATCGTGATCGATCGGTGAGTAATCTGCTCCTGCTGCACTGATTAGATTAGATGATGTAAAAGCTATGGTGTAGAAACTGACTTTCAGGAGAGCTGCTTACTCAGTGAAGTTGTTAGGTTCCAGACCAGCAAATATTTATGCACAACTATGTGGGAGCTAATCCTTTCTAGGAGAGAAGACTGGCTGCTTTACAGAGTTGGAAATTTACTTAGGGGTTTAATACCTCTGCAGTGGAAAAGGGAGAGTGAGACCAACAGCCAGTTCTGCTGTCAGCTTTCCCATCTTGGCTTCTTACCAGTTTGGGGGTTTGTATCAAACGTCTTTCTGCTTGTACAGGTCTTGGAAGTGACTTGCAACATGAAAGTTGTTAAACTGTGTTGCACTGATTTGCTTTTCTATAACAAGAACAGAAATGCAGTATATTTGAAGCCAGTTGATAAAGCTTTGAGAAATTGGCCTTTGCAGTAACATTCAGTGGTAAAATCCTATTCAAATGCTCAGACAAAGTATTCAGATAATAAAATGTTAAATCCAGGATCTGTGTGTCAGCAAATATATCAATTCTTATTAGAATTGCTATCAATCTGAAATAGGCCTTGGCAGCAACTCACTGCTGTTGGGTTTCTAGTGTATCTGGAGTAATTTCTGGAGTTCTTGATGTTTGCATAAAATGAAGCCTTAATGAGGAAAATGTGCTTTTAATAAAGGGCTTGAGCTTAGTGAAGCTTACACTAAATTAGCAGATGTCATTGGGAGCTGCAGAGTTTGGATGCAGGACATTTAAGAAGGGCATTTTTATATTTGACATAATTATCATTTGGCTTAGTCTGTGTTTTAATAATAAACTCTTGGCTCATGGCTCAAAGAGGAGTGGTTGTTCTGATCCTGAAATAGTTGTGCCCTCTTATTGATAGGTTGCTCCACAGCATGAGGAGAACTGTGTAAAGCAGATGTGTGTTGATCACAGGAATGTCAGGCATCCATTATGAATGTTTTTATATTTCATCTAGCAGTTCCTCTCTCTTAATGGGTTGAGATAGACAATTTGGGCATAATTTACTTTGGGACCAGGAGAATTACGCTTGTGCAAGATCTGCTTCTTCCTCTATTGCAAAAGAGCAAGAAACTGCAGTGGCTTAGGGTGTTTCTGTCACCTAGCCATCTGGCCAGTACCTCTGCTGGTAGAGGTGGAGGTTGGCATCAGCTTCCCCAGTGTGATGTGGCACGTTAGTGTGCATTTACAGCCTCTGCAGCTGAAGAGGGTTCGCAAAGGTACGGACTGCGGCAGCCGGGGCAGGGGCACGCCATCCCCTCTGCCAGCGATCCTGCGGAGGTGGTGACCTCCCAATGGCATAAGCAATTAAAATGGAAACATGCATAACTGTCGCTTAGATCTCCTCTGTCAGAGCCTTTTGATCAGCTGCTAAAAGACTGTCTAAATTACAGTGTGTTTTTCAGGCTTGCTGTATCAGTAGTAATGCTGTATAACCTGCAGCCCCCCTCTCAGGGCCCGAGCTCTCGGCAGCATGTGTAAGTACGTTGCCCGTGATGGCGAGGGGCTGTCTATGTGCCCCTGCTGAGCACGTAATCCTCGGCACTCTCCGTGAAGGCTGGTTGTACAATGGCAACTAAGAAGGCAGTTCACGTTACTCTTCTCACACTGGAAATGTGTTTACAGTCAAGGGTGAATTTTCTGAAGTGACAGTTTCTAACCTAGTTGCCTGATAACATAACTTGATACTGTCCATGTCGAGGAAGAAAAGCTGTTTCTTGATATCCAGTGGCAGTGTGCTGGTGGTTCTTTTTGTACAAGGCGTACTTTCGTGTGACTTAATGGTAGTGAATACAGTTCTTTCTGGATTTCTGACCAGAAGTCAGTTGAGATTCCTCTTCATTCAGCTGGAAAGGCAAAATACACTCTGGAAGCTATTGAAGCGAAACAAAGACCACTTAGTGATGTTACAGTCATTTCCTTTAAGTAGACACTTGGTGTTACATTTAAGCGTGTTGTAAATTATGAAGGTGCAGTACAACAATACTTCAGAGAAAAGGCTCTTTTTTGAATGATGAGCCTCCATTTGGGCAAAATATTTTCCTTAAAAGTTATTATTTTAAAATTAAATAAAATTATTTACAATACATGGTTTGTATCATTTAAAATTAGAACAAAGTGATGTTGCATATTTAGATTTTACAACAGATTATTTTTTCCTGTTTTAAGAAGAGGAAGTGTTTTCTATGACAAATAAAAATAATTTGGGGTTCACTCATAGAGAAAATGGTACATAGCTGCTGTCCAAAATCCTAGCAATACAAAACCATTATAAAGCAGTGGTGTTATTTTGTATTAGATGGGATATTAACAAGACTTCAGTGTAAACGATACCTCTTTTCAAGGCACAGAGCAGCACTAAGCAAAAATTTGATGTTATCCATGTTCAACACGTGGGGATGCAAGGCCTCGCACTGAGAGTCAAGGTGATGTTTGGGAGTAAACCTAAGTCTTCCAGCTCCTGGTCTTCCTGAGATTATTTTAAACTTCTTTTCAGAATATGAATTTACTTGGGAATAGTGACCTAAAATAAATATATATAAAGTTTGTAAAGTGTGGTTAATTAGGATTCAAGATGGTGGTAGTTAAATTACAGAATCTGTTCTTTCAGGAAGTGGAGGAGGAATTCTTTTGTTGACTGAGGTTTGGTAATAGTTGATTGCCGAGAAGGCCCTTCGTACCTGTGGTTCTCGCAGACTTTTAAAAGGTGCTGTGTCATCAAGTCCTGTCTCATGCTGAATTTACAAACTGGCAGCTGGAGGGTGCCAGCAAGACTTGTTTAATTCTGGGGGGACAGAAGCTTGGGAGAGATGGGTTCACCCTGTGCTGTCTGGAAACCAGAGAAGCGGGAGAGCAGCCAGCATGGTGCTCCAGACCCAGCTGTTTGCTGCTGAAATACAAGGAAAAGCTGGATGAAAACAAGCTCTTGCCCTTGTCACCAACCTCCCTTTCAAACACAGAGTCATTACCCACGTTTTTTTAAGGTTAAACCCGCTTCTGATGGGAATTGCACAGGGGGCCCTGCTAATCCAGGAGGTGCAGGACATTAGCATCACTGCGCACCCTACACCTTGTTCTGCATAGCGGTGCTTAAATCTCTTAGTGAGAAACAGAGGCTCTGTACGGGGCAGTATCCTTAAGCCATTCTACCTTGTTAAAAAAGGGAGGAGGGGGAGGAAAAAGAAACCTGCTGCCTGCTTCCCTTCTTCCTACACAATGATAAAAGGGCAACAAAACTCCAGCCCTTCCGGATTAGATTATTAAACTTCCTTGTTTTGCATTGGAAATCTAACAGTTTGGAATAGCTGCAAGCAAGTTTCAAATAGTCGTGAAAAACGATTCAGGGAATAGTGCTTACACTGTAAGTCGTCATACTTGGGTAGTCTGGTGTGTCACTGGACATTCAAAGACGTGAACAGAACTTTTGAAAACCCAGAGAGTCACTTGCATCTGTGAATAGAACAAGTGGATTGATTTTTATTCTATACACTGTGTTCAACAGCAGATTTAGTAGTAGATTAGTTAAAATCTATTTGATTTGTGTAGCCTGTTTGGCATAACAAATGCAGATTTTAGAGTTTAAATGAACAGAGAAGCTTAAATGGGTGGATTTAAAAGTGGTTTTGGTTTGGTTTGGTTTGGTTTTTTAAAAGTACTCTAGGAATCAATGCCAATTTAATGAATTAAAGCCTGAAATTGTTAAGTCTGCTCTTAAAAAATGGGATGGAGACCGTACTTTTGGGAAGCGAAAACGTGGCGTGGGGAAGGGAGCCTGACACGCGTGTGTGCACGGGATCATAATGGCACTTCTTAAAGGTGTGTGTCGTGTTTTCTCCACATGAGCTGTTGGTACAGGCTGTGAATAAGAACTTAAGGATTTTGTATGTAAGAGCAAATCTGCCACTGTAACACTTATTACTAGAATGTCTGTCACCTACTGTACAAAATAATCGGATTATATCATTGCACTGCCTTACTTCTCTGGTGGTTCAGTATGGAACACTACGTTATATTTAGCACCAGAGGGAGCCAACAGTGTTTGTATTGGTTTGGCAGATTACAGCATCACATTTTAATTCTGTGTGTTGCTCCTCTATTCAGTACATTCACAACACCGAAATTACAGTGTTTGGTACAATTGCAAATGTCTCTTGAGACTGGCCAGCCACTGTAGATGTATCTGGTGTGGTCCTGGCACTGTGTGTTTGGCAGGGATTGCTTGTAGGGGGTACGTGAATAAATGCCAAATATCTGAGCATATGACATAAGCTGCTGCGAATAACACTGTGCAAGCAGTGTTCTCTTCCAGAGAGCTTAAGGGCATTTGAACAGCTTTTTAAGGAAAGGTAGATACAGAAGTATAATTTTAGTGAATAGCTGTCATTCCTCAGGACGTAATAACATTTACATTCGGTTGACATCAAACTATTATGTGCTCTGATAGTGCTCATGTTACTGCTAGCATAAAGCTATAGTTCTCTTGGGTTGGGATGGTCTGTAAAGATCTGCAGCATTAGCATATCCACTTGAGTGATAATTTGATGTCATTTTTGAGGAAGCTTTGAAGCTTTATGCCACCTTAGGTCCGAGCACATGCGTGTATAGCTGGGAGCCCTGTGCAGGGAGTAACACTGTGAGGAACCTCCTCAGAGTGTCTTGTTGTGTAAAATATTCTTTGCATGCAATGATAGCTTGAAAAACATGCATTCATCTTTTTCTGTTATCAACAATCACCCAGGTAACTTGTGGTTAAGGCACTTGTGTCTTGGGCTGGTAAACTTTGAGGAAGATTTTGTTACAGAGTAATTACTTTAGCAGTTTTAAAAGTTCACCTGTTCAGAGGTGAATACTAGTAATATCAATGAAACGGAATGTGTTAAAATGAGTTTCCTCATAATAACCTAAATCTTGGCAATAGTGAGAGAATGCAAGGGTAGAAAGGACCTAGCTGACCTATCTGTC